TTCAACAAAATAATACGATATAATACAACAGGATGATAAATATTATAATACTTAAATTTCTTATAACCACACGCATGAAATCAAAAATCATTTTATTTAATAAAAAAAAGAGCATACACACGTGTGACGCGACGTATTAAATGTTGATAGGTGAGATGTGGGCCTCCCACACGTGTAGTTGAGTTTTTTTTGGACTTTTATTACATCCTTTTTCAAGTACTTACTTTCTTGTCTGTTGGTTTGGGTTTCATTTGGGTCAGCCCAATACCTATGGGCCCATTATCATGAGCTTATGTTCCTTCTTCCCTCAGGGCCCATTAAATGCATGGGTAAATAATAATTTATTTTTTTTAAAAAAATAACAAATAATTGAAGTTCCACGTGGATGTCGATTTTGACCCGTAAATGTGTACCCCTCCCAAACTGTTCAAATTTGGAGGGATTGACTAAATGACGTATGCGTTAACCGGTTAAAAAAAATAAGTGTACACAAATCATCCTATCTAAAAGCTTGAGTTCAAAGACAAGCGATGGAAAAGATGTTTTAGTTAGGTTGTACTATGATTTACTTTCAATCTATGTTGATCCAAGTAAACTCGGGGACGATTTAGGTCAGTCCCCGGGTCCATTATCATGCACTTATGTTTCGTTACACAGTTATTCCCTTGGGGACCATTATATAAATGAGTATGTCTGCCCCATGCATGAATTATTACTTCAAATTCAATGGAAAAAATGTATTTCCTTTTCACTAAATAATAAAATTATAAGAATAATGAAAGTTTCGCGTGAGTGTCAATTTTGACCCATAAATGTGTACCCCGTCTAACTGTTTGAATTTTGGAGGGATTGACTCGATGATGTATGCGTTTAGGGGTTACCAAGTAAGTTTACACAAATCAACCTATCCAAAAGTTTGAGTTCAACTTGGAATGCATTATTAGCCCAATCAACATTATTAGGCTTTTGTAGAATTTTTTTTTTTATAAAAAAGGTAAAAACCAAGGACAAATTACTTGAACAAATGAATTCTGAGTTAACGGAGTTGGGCTATGACCTATTTTCAAATTATATTGATCCAAGTAAAATTAGGGATAATACCTAGGGTACTATTCGCCCTTGGAGTGGTTCTGCCATCGAATACTTATGAATATCATGTGACATGATTGATGATTGTACCTCGGTGTTTGGTTAAACAAACATTCAACCGCATCACCACAACAATGATGGATGACAACCTTGAATCTCTTCTTTCTCAATAAAGTATCGGTAAGGAAAACTTGAAAGCTAATCCGACAACTCTTTGAATAGTAGTTGATTTACTGACTCAAACCATTTTAACATGTTCGATTGACATTCTTGGAAGTCTAATTTAATTTTAAGTATATATATAGTTCTTTTTTCGAATTTAAATTTAATACATTGATAAGTGAAAGTTTTTTATACCATAATGTTACTTGAAATTCAATATATAGCTATTTATAACAAAGATAGGTTAATAATCTTAAAAATAAGATAGATTATTGTTAGTACCGTATATAAAAGTAAAACATCATATGGGTCATGTGTGTGTGTTATGAACAGGGAAAGTTCTTGAAACAAAGAAGGCTCCAAATTGATGGATGCAAGGCCCATTTGACCATGACTGTCAGGTCTTTAAAGATGTGGTGGAACAATTGAGATTTCTTCATTTTAAATTTAAAAAAATTGAATTCGAGTTTGAAAATGGAGAATTCCATGGCATATACGTGTTTTTCTCCTTGAAGTGGACATATTTATATGAATTAGAATTAGTTGGAAACTTTCGATGTGAATGGTTAAACAAAGAAAACTTGGTTGTAGGAAGTGATGAATGCAATGTCACACACCAATGAATGAGTAAAATACTATCTTTTGTAAGACTTAGAAGAATTCTCCTCCATTTGAGCAAGCTTTTGAAGTGTGAGTTGGGACCAAAACCTAATTTGACATGGTATTAGAACCAAACCCGACATGGGCCCCCAAACGTGCACCCACCAGACAAGATAGTGGAACCCCGAATAAAGAACGTTTGTATTCGAGCGTGACGAGATGTAATAAATGGAATGTTCCACATCAGTGAATGAATGGAATCCTGAGATCCTTATAAAACTTGAATAATTGTGAAATAATTGAGATTTCTCTATCCTTAATAGGTGTTCCTCAAAATAGACACGACTAATATAAATAATTAATTAAACCATCCACTAACAACTATGTCTACAAGTGTGTGTATATATATATATATATATTATATATATATATATACACATCGAAACATCAATATACTAATTTCCATTAGCAATGATGATTGACTTATGATCATCATTTCTTGACACACAAAATAATAGTATTTATTGTGGGATGATTGACTTATGATCATCAATATAAATATATACTGTATATATATTGACACACTAGGATTTGAGGAGAGGGGTTAATTGTGGGATGCCCTACACATGGAATAGGGTTTGACTCCAATGTGACAAAAGCCCAACAAGTTCACATGCAGGCTAAGAAATGAATATGTGTGCACATGCTTTTATCCCCATTGTGTTGGCTCCTTTGCCTATATTCCTAGTATGTTCCTCTACCTCTTTTATCCCCACTCCCCCACCCCCACAACTTAAGGTTTGTTTGGTGGTGTACGATGTATTTTGTATTAAAATAAATGTAAATTTAGATATATTGTTTTTATTCAGGGTTCAATATGTATTGACTTTTTACAAGTTAAAAAATAATAATAATAGTTTGGTGCTTGAAGCATCAAGTCATATTAAGGTATTTTATTTTTTGTGTGAATAAAGTTGAATATATATAAATATTTAAAAATTTTAAAATACAGAAGCATTCTGCGTTTATGAATTCATGAAAGGGTCATATCTTAACTAGGTGTTACCCCATCAAAAGCATTGATGGTTGATTTCGTGGCTTGAATATGTGATTTATAGGTCATAGGAGATAATTTTATTATTGATCCAAGATTTCCTTTTGAATGTTTTTGAAATGAAAATTGCATAATTGCAAATTACGTATAAGAAAAACATTGTATAGAGTTGATGGTCTTTTTGCTTGTCCACTACTCTTAAAATATATTTACCTCGTATCACTTATGACTTAGTATATCAAGAAAAAAATATTTTATTTTCTTATGTTTTACCCTCAATATTTATTATTTATTCCCTAAATTAATTTTAAAATCTAAGACTAATCAAATGTCAATTAATATGAATATTATAGTAAAATTCTCATATTAATCATTATTTTAAAATTTAAATAAATAAGTAAAAGTGAACAAAAAGAAGTGATATGTGCGAAAGACAGAACGACAAAAATTCTTCTTGCATTTTTTCTAAACTTCGTCAAGCCTATCCGTTCACTTGTTCCAAACCAGAGTTTTTAGTTTCAAGATCGCGCTTTTAGTATGCGTGTGGTGAGATGATCCAAGCCTGATATCTACGGATCCAATCTTCTTTGTTCTTTCTAAATCTTCTTCTTGCATAGAAGAACACAATTGTTACAAAAACCAAAATTTTAATAATAGACGGTATCCCCTCTTAATTTTGAGTAGGCGGAACCATATAGGATTTAGAAAATATTTAAGAAAAGAGCGATAAGTTAATAATATATTCAATGTTAATTGATAGAGGTGTGTGAAAAAGACTCTTGTCTTTTAAGAGAAAAAGTGAGTGAGCAGTTGATGCAATTGGAAGGAATCCAACATCATAATTCTACATCATTATTTTATTTATCGTGAAGTCAAAAAATTTATTGAGGAGTTTTATAATATAAAAAAGTAAATGCTCAAAAAAAATCGAAAGGATTCCTCATTTAATATTTGTTCATAAAAATATTTTTAATTATTATACATAATTAAATAAATAATATAATTTCTTACAATTCCTTAATTTTATCTGTTTCCACACACAAATTCATCAAATCATCAATAATTAAGTCCATGTGAATAATTAAACAATTGAGAATAATAAAGGGTGGAAAAAAGATAAAAATTTACCAGCATTAAATATATTTTTTTATATTTAATTAAATATAAACACCCGATACAAATACCAAAGGAAAGTTAATGCATGAGAATATAAATCAAGCGTATGATAAGATCAAATTATAACCCAACAAGATATAAAAATCCAGCTCATAAACTTTAGCAAGTGTCAACAAATCATTTATCAAAGTAAGTGAAGACAAAAGCAACCCATTCCCCACCACCTTTAATATGCCATATTAATACCATTATACACTCTTTTTAGCACAAACACACCCTTCTCTATTTCATTCAATTGTTATTTCTTTGTCTCCTTTTATTTTTCTCAATGGCTAGTTTATTTTTTGGTAGCCACTAGCTAGCTAGTATTAAGTGTTCTTTTCGTTCTATTTTATATGATTTTTTTTATTATCATCTATTTTAATGAAAAGGGAAAAAAATAAAAGTAGTTTTTAATTTATCCTCCCTTATATTTCTGGCTAGAAAATGCTTTTGTTATTAGTTAACTAACTAGCTTAAAAATACCATTCAACTACTCAAATAACTTTAAATGTCCTTCCAACTAATTGACGGTTACTCCAATAAGAAAAGTTGACTAATTTTATCCTTAAACTATTCAAAATAGCATAATTTTACCTTGTTTCTAAGAATACATTTTTTATATGAACTAAAAGTCTTTCTTCCTAGACGCAAGATATACATTAAAAATAATGTTATCTTATATATATATATATATATATATATGTATATAATTTATTTTTTGACAGAGGAGGTTCGAATGAACCCTTTGCTCCCCCGACCCCTGATTTTGTGCATAGTCAAATAATGTTATATAAAATAAGGGAGTGGGGTAACAATTTAATAAGGTCTACCAAGTCCAATCTAGTTGCTAGTTTATCTCCTTCTCTCCCCTCTATATATTTTTAACTCTCACTTTTCTATCTCAAACCAAAAGTACTCTTAAATAAAATAACAAGAAATGATAGGGGAAGAAGAAAAAAGTAGTAATAAGTTGGATTTTGAGGAGACAGAATTAAGGCTAGGGTTGCCTGGTGGAGGAAGAAAAAATGTTCATGATGATAATGATACTTATAATGTTAATGGTAAAAGAGGTTTTGTGGATTTGAAGCTCAACCTTTCTTCTGATGTTAACAACATTAAGAATTCAACACTCAAAACCCCAGCTGCCAAGTATGTGTCTTTAAATTTTATCTTTTTTTACTTTTCTATAAAATGAAATGTTAGGTGATTTCTGTCCATCTATTTGAGTTTTGATGGACATCAAGTATTTGTGTTGGTATGAAGTAGTCGAGAGTTAGAATTTTTGAGTTTATGATTTTTGGTGTATTTTAGAAAATATAATTATTTAGTAAGTTATGAATAAATTATCTATAATTATTATCTGAATGTTTGAGTGTAAATATAGAGTTTAGATTGAATTTACTGAGCTTTTCGAATTTGTAAGCAGAACTGTAATTCTGCCCCTGGATGAGAGGTAGATAGGTAATCATGGAGTAGTTCTGGTGCCCTCAAGTTGCATCGTACCATTATCAATAGATAATAGAGTTCAGATAAATTTCTTACCGATGTGTTGTATATATCAATCCCTATATTGTTAAGACTCTTTAAAATCGATGTTATATTCGTATTGAATTTTTTTTTAAAAATACATAATTTTTTTTGGAGAATTTGACACACAATCAACAATATTTTTCAAAAATTCGAACAAATATATTTATACGAACTTGTATTCATATTTTATATTATCAGTGTATATAACTCATTTGAATGTATAAACAAATGATCAGGACACAAATTGTGGGTTGGCCACCAGTAAGGTCCTTTCGAAAGAATATTTTGACTTCCCAGAAGCTTGGCCAAGAGAGTGACAATATTTTAGTGAAGGTGAGCATGGATGGTGCACCTTACCTTAGAAAAGTGGACTTAAACATGTACAAGAGCTATCAAGAATTATCTGATGCCTTAGCAAAGATGTTCAATTCCTTCACTATTGGTATGACATATTTACTTCTTATATATATTTTCTATGAATTTAACTCTTTATCATGAACAAATCTAAAAAAATGAATTTATAGATTCTAAATTATTAATGAGTTTTAGATGAATTATTGTTATATTTAAGATTGATTTCTTCACACATATATATGCCAAAGCTACTAGTATTATTTGTTGAATTCGTAACTGATATTTTAGCTAGCTGCACTTATATAATTTATATACCTTGAGATACAAAAAAAAGAATTACACTTTAAGATAAGTACAAAAAGTGAATTTAGTTATATTATACTATTTGTAGTTGCACGGAGTCACCTTTGTCCAAAAGAAGTTAATTAACACCTTTTTATTGAAAAATTACGTTATGTGGATAGTTCACAGCTCAATTTATTTTTATTTTAATGTGTGTTATACTATATTATTTTAATTATTTTTAGTTTTTTCAATGTGTATATTTTCTTTTATATTTTGAATTTTCCCACTAAAGTTTTAATTATTTTATCAATTCTTTGATCACCTAAAAAATAACTATAAATAATTATTTATTTATGTGAAACTAATCACATGAAAAATATGAAAGATAACCTATACACAATAAGTGTTAAAATTATATTAATAAAGCATATACATAGAGCTTTTTCAATTTCAACACAACTTATCATTTTGAAGCTGACATAACAAACTACACGAGCCTCCCAACGAAGCCAACATAAATCTGAATTGAATAAAAAAAATAAAAGAAGGTTTGATTACTGTGGTATACCAGCCACCTATTCTGAAACTTCCAGCTCCAATCGAAGCATACAGATAGGTAAATAGATTTTTGTATGTTAGCGTATATAAGTTAAATTATATTTTCTTATATATAATAATTTGTGTGTGTGTATGTTTTAATATTACTGACTGAAATGAAACTGTGAAATAGTCCAAGGAATGAAGGATTTCATGAATGAGAGGAAACTGATGGACCTTTTGAATAGTTCTGATTATGTTCCTACCTATGAAGACAAAGATGGTGATTGGATGCTTGTTGGAGATGTCCCATGGGGGTAAGACTTTGACACCTTAACTATATACTATATTTAAAAAAAAAAAAATTTATATATACTCATTGATGGTGTAAAATATAGTTATAATTAAGTTGTTTATAAGGTAACTACAAATAAATTTTATGGTAGACAATAATGGATAATGACATGATAAAGATTTTAATTAACTTGCTATCACATGTTAAACTGTACTAATGGTGTATGTAAAACTGTCTTTTCACTTTCAACATGTTTTTTTTAATAAATCTATTAGTGTGGAATTTAAGTTAAATATATTGATAGTAACTTTGACCCCAACATGTCTTACAAATTTATTCATTGTGCGCTATGCCATCACCGAGCATATAAGTGTGCATTATTATACCATGTGAACTTATGATATGCCTTATAAAGCTCTTTCTTTTTTTTTTTACTTTCCTTCTCTCTTTGGATGTGAGATTTGGTGAAGGTGTCATGTACACCTCTTCTTTAGAATTCTCTAGCTTAGAAGTTTGATGGTACTTCTATGTAACTCCTCTTCATCAGTCTGCCTTCCGTCATAGGCATCACATACACTCACTCTAATAAGGGCTCATTGTCCCTCTCGTAGGTCTAACCCACCGCCGTACTAAAAGAGAAATTAAACCTAACTTTGATATCATATTTTTGTCACTACATCCTACTACCTCCGTCCACTTTTGGTTGTCATGGTTTCCCTTTTTAGAGTCAAACAATAATAATTTTGACTAACATTTTATGATATATTTTTTATCATAGATATGCAAAAAATTGGAGTCTATAGTACTTTTCGTATAGTTTTTTAATATCTATTTTTTTTTGTTTAAAATATCAAATTAATGTAATCTAATTTAACTTCGAAAATTAGTCAAATTGACTTTCGAAAAGCGCAACATGACAATTAAAAGTGGACAGAGGGAGTATAACATAGTACATGTATTGTCTCCTTCGGCCTAGTAGACCTTACATATTTGTCCTTTGTTCTATGCTGTTTTCGAAATCATAAGTATGTGTGTACCATGTGAACTTATATTATGCTTTATAAAACCTTTCATTTTTCTCTCTCATTTCAATGTGGAATTCTCCTAAGGCATGTCATCTGCACCCCTTTTTCAAAAGCTTATCAACCTAAAAATCTATCAATCCTTCCGTGACCCATCCACCGTCATGGACATAACACTACATATACTTAATTAATAACATTACATTATTTCATTTCAATGAACAGGATGTTTGTTGATTCTTGCAAACGCTTGCGCATCATGAAAGGAACCGAAGCAATTGGACTAGGTATGATATATGATATATATTACTTATTAATTACTGTTTTATTGTTATTTATTTTATCTTTGGATTAATTTGCTGCAAAATTGTAATTATAGTTAATTAACCAAATAGCTTACTTAGCATATTGATATTGATTATAACACTGAATTATTTTTCGAATTTAACTTTAGCACCAAGGGCTATGGAGAAATGCAAGAACAGAAATGGATGAAATCAGGCCGACTTCTTCTTATTATTGAATATAATCGATCAAAATTTTATCGATTATAGCTAGTGTTTGTCCGAATTAAATAGTGTATTATGTATTAATGCTACTATTGTGAAGTTGCTTGTATGTATTAATAATGAGTGTAGCATATTTATTTCTATATATGTGATTTATTTAGAGCTATAATATTTCTTGTTTAAAACTGACCTTATAAATCGTTTTGTCTAATAATAATAATAATTTAGTATGAGTTGCTTAATGCCTTCTTGTTGTTGTATTATATTCTTTTGTTAATAGTGAAGGCATTTATTCCCTAACATATAGGGAAAATATTCATGTGCAATGTCTACCAATCTTACCATATATTTTATGTATTATATGAACAAAATAATTGTATGATTTGAATATTAATGTGTGTGTTTTTTTCATTATTTTTGCCATTAGATTTTCATGAACCACATTGCACTATTCAGGAACCATAAATATTAGGATAATCTTACTAGTTTTCGAGTTAATTATTAAATATATTAGTTTGCAATATCATAAATTTTATTAGTTTTTAATGTGTCCAGATATGTTCAGATATATGGGGTTAAATTAAGTGTAATTTGTTCTAGATACATTGTATGCAGGTGGATTAGCATGTATCTACGATACACAGACAAATCTTGCTCGCTATTCCCCTATCTTACTCGTGTATATGGTATCCCATACATGTGAAATCACACCAAATACATGTATCTGGTGTGTATCTAGTGTATATCTAGTGTGATTCACATATATCTGAAATATATAGACAAATCTCACTCGCCTCCTTCTTGTTCTCGCTCGTCTCTTTCCCTATTTCAGTAAATCTAGTAGCAAAAATTATGAATCTAAATATATTTGACTTGAATTAATCTTGTATGAAATTAATAATTAGTGAGATAAAATATAATTATTTCATATAATTTGATAGTTTCACCTAAATATTATCCTTTGTAGGGTTAGTTTAGCCACCACCTTCACCAGAATTAGTGGCTTTATTTGATTCATCTAGAGGTTTATTTTATTTATATTAGCAGAATTATCCCCATAACAATTAATGGTATGACCAAATTTATCACAATAAAAGATAGGAGGAAGTTTATTTAATTAGGCCATGTTCATTGATGGCTATCTAGTTTTCATTAGGGTGTATAAAATCGAATCGAAAATCGAATTAAATTGCAAACTGAGTCAAATCGAGAAAAAAAATCTAACTAGTGGTTAGTTTGACTTGGTTTGGTATTGAAAAAAAAATTCGACTATATTTGGGTTGGTTTGGTTTTAACTAAAAAAAATCAACTCGAGACCAAACCAACCCGACATTATATATATAATTGTAAAATTTTATTTTATACAAAAAAAATTTACTTTGATATATTTTAAAAATATTTCTTATACTTTTTCATAGTTTTTATCTTTTAATATATTATTATTTCAAGTTTGAAATTTAGAATTCTAAATGGTTCAATAAAGATTATAGTCCACTTGGTAATTATAATAAAGCTTAAATCAAAATCAAATTAATACTAAAGCGACGAGAGGGAGTTGCTCGGATGGTAAGCACCCCTTACTTCCAATCCGAAGGTTGCGAGTTCGAGTCACCAAGGGAGCAAAAGGGGTGGGAGCTCCTAGGGGAGGGTAAAAAAAATAAAAATAAAAATTAATACTAAAGCAAAAAAAAAAAAACAATTCAACACTAAGAATGACAATAATATTGAATATTTGTTCTATGATTTTACATTGGTTTATTCAAATACATAATCTAATTTTAATTTCCTTTAATATTTAGTCATGCAACTAATACTTATTAAACTTATTTTAGCATGATTTAGTACTTTTAAATTATGATCATTTTCATTATGACTTGTTAATTTGCAATATTTATTTTATGCAATTTCATTATTATTATTTTTTGTTGGATATTTTAGTATCATTACTCATATAATATTTTGTGTTTTTTTCTTAAGAAACACCTTAGATAGTTGTATTTTGGTAGGATTAAAGAAATATTTGAAGTACAAGTAAATTATATGTTTGCATGAATACTTTACCAGAAAAATCCGAAAAAATCCAAAAAACCCGAGTTTTATTGGTTTGGTTTGGTTTATAGATTTAAAAATCCGACACAAATGATTTAGTTTGATATTTGAAAAATCCGAACCAACTCGGCCATGTACACCCCTAGTTTTCAAAGTAGAGAAAAAGAGGGAGGCAAACATTTGAATATAGAGTGAAGTATCAAAAACACCCTTAAACTTGACGCAAATTATTAGTTTCATCCTTAAATTATTGACAACCTTAAAAACACTCCTCTACTTGACTAACTAAACTTAGATACACTCCCGATATGCAACATGACATAACAAGTGGTCTCAAACTCTTGTAGGAGCATGGAGTTCTTAATAAAAATCGAGAAAAGTATTGAAATATACGTCTAAACTTGACGAGAATTTAGGGGTGTATTTCACTAATGTTGCAAGATCATGGGTGTATTTAACTTCAATTAGTCAAGTAAGGAGGTGTTTTTAAGGTTGTTAATAGTTCGGAGATGAAACTAATAATTTGCATCAAGTTTAGAGGTGTTTTTGATACTTGTCTCTTGAATATATGATAAAATATTTCTATTAAAATATTTTTAATTTAAATAAATAATTTTTTTTAATATGTGTCGTCTAGCTTTTATTAGCTTAAATAGGAAACTCGCAAACCTGATAATATCTGCTATGAAGTAAACTTAACAAGTGGGAAACTAAACCAAAAATTACTACTTTGACTGCGGCTCTGTATTTCTGAGTCTCAAACCCAATACACAAAACTGCCGATTTATACACACAGAGAAAAGAAGAAGAAGAAGAAGAGATCATCCCACCCCTACCCTCGTTTCTACCCCCACCCTACCAAATTCATCGCCGACCCACTTTCCCTTTCCCCAAATCAACCCGACCCATTTGCTCAATTTCAAATTTATACGACCCGTTTTGGATAATTCCGGGTTCTTTACTTGTGTTTTCGGGTCGAATTCAGAAATGTGGGTGATCTTTAGAGACCCGAATGTGTTGAATTGCTTTTGTAGCATGCAACGTTAAGGTAGAATTCAGTTTTTGATTGAGAAGAAAATATGAAGAATCAATTGGTGAAGAGAGAGTCGATTGTGGCATGCATGAGTTGCCCTCTTTGTCACAAACTATTCAGAGATGCTACTACTATTTCTGAATGTCTTCATACATGTAAGTTGACTAATTCTGTTCCGTTTAATTATATTAGTTGCTTACTTAATCTGCCATTTTTCTTTGGAGTTTTTTCTGTTACTATTGGAGTTATTTTTGATTTGGGTTTGCTCCATTTGCATCGATTAGCTATTTGTTGATACATGTGATAATACATAAACTTGTCCTTTAACTTGGCTTTAGTTGACTATGCCTTCAAAATTTGTACTAGACACATGCGTACGAGGAAATTAGGGTAAAATACACTTGAACTGATTTGTATTATGACATGTAGAACATGGGCATAGTACATAACTTGAACTGTGTTTACTTGTTTAAATTATACAAAAGATGCTAGTTGAGGCCAAGTTAAAGGGCATGTGTATGTATTATGCCTAGATTCGTTGGTCATATTTTTCAATGATTTGGCGTTATTTCTCGATTTGGGTTTGCTCCAGTTGCATGGATTAGCTTGGTAACTGTGTATATATAGCTTCCTATACATCTAAGTGTTTCATATGTGCTCAAGAAGTTAGAGGATTCCACTACTCTTTTGTTGTACACGAACTAGCTACAACTCTGTGCCTACTCTGTATTTTTGATGATTTGAGGGTAATTAGAACTAAGGTCAATATTTTCCATTATGAAATAATTGGGACTTACCACCTATTTGATCAATCTCATTGTATATACAGCTAGTGTAAATTTTTATTTTTTTTTGGTTTATATTAGGGGTTATTTAATAGGTATTGAGTTTAGATTTTATAGTATAAGCAATATTTGCATTATCAGGTCATTTAAAAGACAATTGGAGGTAATATATGGTAAGCAAATTGATAACCTGCAAAAGATGGTAAATGACTTGTAACGGTGACTACTTGTGTAAATATCTTTTGTAGAGTCGGTATATAAGTTAAATCCTAAATGATTAACTATAGTATGGGTGAGTTGGTTACCAAAGGAAAGGAAAGTTTTATAGTGTAAAAAATAAATCTTTGCACTATCAGTGTATGTAGCTTAAATCAGTTGGTTGATGTATGCGGAATTCTCTTTGTAATGCAACTTGCACTGCGAGATTAATATTTTGTACTGAGAACCCTTGATTATTAATATGTAGATTGTAGAAATTGAAGCTTCCACACAATTCCGTAAATGGAAATATCTATTTGTATCCTATATCCCTATTATATTTCATTGAGTCCAGTAATGTGATCTCAGTGACAAATTGGTCTCAAGCATAGGTGCCAATATATGCTTCTCGATCCATTTCTGTCGTTAGGCACATAAGCAAATTGGGGATCCTTAAAAAATGCTTCTGTTATATTTTGCAATCATTTCTAAGGTTAATTTCTTTATCATCCCCTGAGAAGCTACATCCTGTGATTTCCGTAACCAGTATAAATTGTTTGAGACATCTTGTTGAATGAATGGGCTGATTGTTCGTTACATTCAGATTAAAAGGGAGAAATTTGCATTCTGGTTTGTGCAATGTTAAAACTGGTATTTTACATGAACACATTGTTTTGACAACTTTCTTTGGGAACTCCACCAAGTTTGCAGGAAATGCATCTATAAGAAGCTCTCGGATGAAGATTTGGAATGCTGTCCAGTATGCAATATCGACTTAGGCTGTGTGCCATTAGAGAAATTGAGGTCATAATTTTCTTTTAACTCCTTGTTCTTTTTCTTTTAATTTTTGACATGTGTACTGTGCTTGAGTACTCAATTCTACAGTTGTCTAAAATATTCTAGTTTTACATTTTTTCTTCTTCTTTTTGTCCCACCACCTGGAACTTCAAGCCAAATATTTCTTCTAAGCTTAGTAACTTCGTTCTTTTTCTTTTTTTATTATTAAGTAAAGTGATAATTTCGTTAATTTGCATCCAAAGTTTGTTGATGACTAGAACAGCTGTGCAAATATTAGCTCTTGTTCCTGTGATTAGTGGATATAATTCAAGGGGCTAACAAAATCCTTGAATTTATCAAGTCTATTTACATGTTCAAGCTTACACCAACAAAAAAGGTTCTTTAAACATCTAGCCTTTAGCAAGTATTAATGGATCGCTTTCACCATTTAACTAAGCTAGTTCAACATAATTCTTCATTTTCTAGCACTAACTTTGCTACTTTGTCTGTATCTATTAATATATGCCTATTATTTTTCTTCTATCATTCCATAAATGTGAGGAGATTTACTGACAATGTTTGTTGTTTCCTGTTCCTTGTTAAATTTGATTTTTCAGGCCCGATCATAAGCTAGAAGATGTAAGAGCAAAGATATTCCCTTATAAGAGGCGAAAAGTGAAGGCGCCTGAAATTGTGCCTTCAGTTACATTGCCAGTTAGAAGGAAAGAGAGATCACTTTCATCATTGGGCGTCAACACTCCCAGAGTATCTACACATACTGGAATGACAGGAAGAAGATCAAAATCAGTGGCAAGAAAAGCATTACGCAGCTCTACCTTTTCCACTGAGAAAGCTATCAAGAATGAGGAAGATTCTGGAGAAGAGCCAGATAGCTCTAGCTCACCAGACACTTTCACAAAGTCTTCTCAGAGTAAAAGGCAGGTAAAGTCATGTCCTTTGGACCTTATATATGTAATTTTATAGAACATGAAATTTGGAAAATGACCTAAATATCGTGATTCTCAATGAAGACAGAATTAGCAAGAATATGCTATATTATTAACTTAGATACATAGAATGCATCGAGAATATTTTAATGTATAACGGTATTAGTTCTCTTGACTTTTAAAATCCCACCTCAAACTCAAGGTAGTGAGCAACTTGAGTTTTCAACTGAAACTGTGAAGTCAATTGGTGTGTGACAGACAAGTTATTGTTGAAGGAACAACCAGCTGTATAATGTTGTCCAAATATTGTCATTGAAATAGTGCACAGTCACCAAAAAGAGAAGTGGTGCTAGAATCCTTTCTTCCTCAAAACTCTATGATAACTGAAACAGCAAAACGAAGTGCTTCTCGCATCACATACCAGAAGTAATCTGTTCTCAACCACCGGATTGAGGAACGATGTTGCAAATCACCAGGACATCATCCGTGTAGCTTGAATTGACGGCTAAGAAGTAACGGAATAAGTTGATGGAATAATAACCGAAATTGAAGTTTTGAAGGAGGAAATTATTACCCAAACTCTAATTCCAAGAAGAGAAGGGAAGAAGGCTTTTCCAGAATAATGGCCACAAATTTAATAATCAAACTCTGATACCATAGAAAAAAAAAAGTAGAAGGCCTTTTAGAACAGTAACCAAAAAGTTGAATTTTCAAAGGAGAGCTCCTTATACAGGAGTTAACTCTAAATAAGTTAAAGTTCAGAGTACATGAATTAAAAAAAAGCTATTTTAGATAATAAAATATATCTAAATACTGAGATTCCTAACCATCTCAGAATTAGGAAGTACACTCTATACTGTCAACGTATTCACACAGAGTGAATCTAGAACATTGTGAAATATTATTAATTCTCAACTTTCGGCATCTGAAATGTTCTATCTATTTTTCCTGGTAAGTTTTTCTTTGGTCAATGGTATCCCGATTTAACTGTGAATATTACTATATCGGTTGTACTCATGTGATTTTTCCAGAATTATTCCAATGCCGAGCCTTCTAGCCATCCCACATCGGACAAAGGAACTGACAATGGCACTGAACAACAAGAAGGCAAAGTTGATTTGTGGAAACCTTTGGATTGTTTGGTGGAAGTAGCAAACAAGAACAAATGTTCAAGGTTTACTTCACAGGGTTCTGTTTGTAAAACAGAAAGTTTGCATTGCCATGACAAAGAACATGGACAGAAATTGAAGGTCCAAGGTGACAAATACAGCTGTGTTCCTGTTCCTGCAGAATCAGAAAAAACTAAAAAGTTGCGAAGAATTCGCCGAAAAAAGGCATCAACTTTTGGAGAATTTAGTATATCACCACAAGCTGTGCTGGATTCAATCAGTGTCAAATGTGAAAGGAGGACTAATCCAATTTGGTTCTCATTAGTTGCCTCTGAAGACCAGTAAGAATCTGCTTTTATTTTACATAACTTTTCTGTTTATTATGTATATAGAGTAAAGATTGAACTATTAATTGTTTTTATCACTAACTCTGCAATTAACTGTTTCAGGGACGGAAGTGCACCTTTGCCCCAGATTTCTGCAGGTTACTTGAGGATAAAGTATGTTTTTTTGTGATATCATTTGATTTCGTAGTGAAACAATTAATTTATCCTGCTGTTCTGTCTAGGTTCTGTATTATGCTCTGATAAGTCATTTAGTTTGCACAAAGAATGTCTATTGCTTCATGAAGTTTGACACTTGAAACGTGGTACTCCCTCTGTCCCAATTTATGTGATGGTGTTTGACTAGGCACGGTGTTTAAGAATGAGAACCTTTGAAATTTGTGGTCTTAAACAAACTATAGGTATTTCGGTGGCAATAAATCATCTAATTAAAGAATAAAATGGGAAGTTTTAAATTCAATTGTTACTAATATAGAAATGTGCCATTTTTTTTAGAACTGTCTAAAAAGGGAAGAATGTCACATAAATTGGGACGGAGGGATTAATATTCTATGCCCTTCTTGGAGTGAGAAGTTGGAAGAGGGATGCTGAATTTCTTCTTCTCCAATTTCACAATTTGGTGATAGTTTCTGTTTGCATAGCTATGTGGATGTCATATCCATTTTCTCCTAATACAAGTAAAAAGGAAAACTAGAATTGACAGATAATGATAATTATGATTTCTTCCTCTCCATTTCCGCGATTGTGTGATAGTTTGTGTTTGGGTATAGGATGTCTATGAATACAAATAAAAAGGAAGAATAGAAGTGACAGATTATGGTGACTACTTTGTTTCTTTTCAAGATCACTTGAGCTGACCTTCATAGTTGGTTATGCTTTAAGTCTGAGTACATTTAGATTAATTCTAAACTAAAAAAACAACCTGATTGCATAAAGTGGTCTGTGAGGACAAATTTAGCATTTGATTTAAGTTGCCTTTAGCTTGAGAATTTGACGAAGCATCGATGCACCTTTTTTGCTTTTCACTGAAAGGTATAGCTCATGATTGTATAATTGTATTCATATATTTTACATTCTACTGCAGGGATGGCAATATTCCAGTTTTGTTCATCCAAAAGTACTTGATGAAGAAGTTGAATCTTTCTAGCGAAGATGAGGTAATTATCTTTTTGTATTTTGGCAGTTAAGCAATCAATAAATGTTATCACATTTGTTTACAATCCTACCTATTCTGGTTTCAAGGTTACAAAATATTATGTGAGGGCATGATTTCCTGTAATTCATTGTTCTGTTGGGTGTAATGTTGGTCCTGTCAGTTTTAGAACTTGGTTTTCAAGAAAACTGGTCGATCATGAAAATTTAAGGGGTAATGAAAAGGGGGCCAGAAACTGTTATCAGTATTGCACCCCCCCCCCCCCCCCCCCCCCCCCAACTTCAGAATGAACTAGCGTGACATTTTTATGCATTGGTGACAGAACTTTGTTTTAAATGAACAGTTATAACTTCACATAATATAAGGATGGGGAAATGGCCAATAGGTATTGCTTGTTGTGAAGTGGGAATTTGGAAGCTAAATACTTAGTTTTCCTGTAATCTTCGTTTTTTTCTTTTCCTTTTAAAGTGTTCTCTTTTTAGGAATTGATGAGGACAAAGTTGTAAACAGGAGCTTGGCTCTAAGTTACTGTCATTTTGACTTAAGTGAATGCCAAGACGAGTAGGCGATTTCCAGCTTTTCGTATTTTTAGCATCTCCATGAACTACTCTCTTTTTATGCATTACCTATGCTCTGTCTCTTCCATATCTACGCTATCAATCAGACTTGTCCAGAAGGTACCTATGGACTAGGTTGCTCGGACTCTTCAAAAGTACTGTGGCACCCGTGTCAGGTCATCCAAAAAGGCTATTAAGAGTCCCACATCAGATATGGGATGGGTAATTGGTCGGCTTATATGGTCTTGGACAATCCTCACCCTATGATAGCTCTTGGGGTTGAATTAGACCCAAGATCCATTTCCTTACAAAGGCACTACTTTTGGAGGATCCGACATGCACCTGTTGACAGTTGAAGAGTGCTTAGACTCTTCATCCAAGAAGGCACTCTTTTTGGAGGATTTGAAGAGTCTGAACAACATAGCTTGTGGGTGATAAGTGTGGCTGATATCACTTGTTGTCTTGCTTAAAAGTAAAGAGACTACTGTCCTTGTACCTACCTAGAAATAAGAGAGAGAGAGAGTGTGTTTTCTCTTGTCGTAAATCTCAGTGTCGAAAACATACTAAATTTGATGATATTTATGTTGTGCTAACTGTTTTTGTTCTCTTGTAGGTTGAGATTAGATATATGGGACAGTTGATAGTCCCCACTCTACAACTGAATAGTTTAGTTGATATGTGGCTTCAATCTACCACATCCGAAAGAGTTCCAGCAATAGTTGGTTCATCAGCTAACGATTTCGTGATGGTGTTGGCTTATGCTCGCAAGGTTCCAAGCCTTATGTCTTCTTGAACTGTTCTTTTTTGCCCCCACATACTTGATAATCTGTACAACCCCAGTGCATAAGTTGAAGTAGCAGCCCGGAACTGCTTAGTTAGCAAGTCTCGTATTAGGAAATGTGGTGAGCAATTAGACGTGCAGGTTATTTTACAGCAGCTGGCGCTGCTACTGTTACAAATCAGAAGTAAATTAGCAACGAGACCATAAAGGAGAAGAGCTTAGCACTTGTGGCACTCGCGAGATACGATGCTTTCAAGTTGAAATGGTGTTTCTCTAATCTGTTGTAAGTTTGAAACACTGCACTGTACTATTGTAGATTGTGAATTAGGATTATGCTTTCATATTCTTGTCTGTTTTTAGTAACAAACACAAACTTTAGGGCAGTTTTTGTGTGTTCAACTGCACCCTTCATAAACTCTTCAACAGATCCTTCTTTTTTCAGCGAGTAGATCGTCTTTTCTTAAGGTTTTGTACTACTACTACTCAAGTGATACGTGAATTGCTCACTTTGAACTTGGCTCCGTTTGGGCATGATTGCTCTTTAACTTGACCTCATTTCATGTTTTTGGCCTCTAACTTTGAGTGTGCACAAGTAGATACTTAAACTTATATAAAGTTGAACAAATAGACATACACGTTCTATGTGACATCTTACATGACAATTTCGTCCTACGTGGTGCCCTCCATTTATTTAATTTGCATGGTTGCACCCAAACTATTGCTAGTCCTCCCTGGACTTGGTCGAATAAAACTACAAATGCATAAACGTGTCATGTAACTTGACTTTAGCCAACATATCTATGCCTTCTAACTTAGGCGTACACAAGTGGACTTAAATTTGTCAAAAGTTGAACAAATAGATGCATATATTCTACATGACAATTTGCATGGAATATGCTCGAACTGATTTGTATCACGCCGCCATAGAGGATCTTATAAATGAGATTTGGGGAAGGTGAAGTGTACACTGACCTTATCTTTACCTTGTAGAGATATAATGATTGTTTTTTATAGACCCTCGGGCCTTTGACTCAAAGTAAATCATCTCAAAACAGTTTGTCAAAAAAGGCGAAAGTAGTAAGAAGTCAAATGTAACAACATAACATTATTCAAGAAGTTATTGAACTTATATAGCAATTCGTCTTTTTCTTTTATTGTTTTCATTCATATTTGATATTCATATTTAAGTCTCAGATCATTCAAATTCATGCTTGTAAAACCTATTTAAACAAAAAGCCTCTCTAATGAAACTCTTTTATATATTCAAAACTCGAATCAGAGACTTCGATTATACATTAATTCAAAATTTGTGTTATGATTGTTTGTAACTTTATATGCCAGATCCCTAGGTACTTTTTTTTTTCCCTATGCTCTTTAAGCCACAAAAAGAAAAAGTTGTGTTCTTTTTTATTACGTGACCTTTTTTTTGCTCTCAATTATTCCAACAATAATGACAAGACGAAATAAAGCATTTTTTATACTATTACTGTAAATTCTGGCTTTATTATACTCTCAAATCGAATCAAAAGGAAACAATATCCGAGATTAGTGCTATGCAATTAAATTAAAATTAAATTTACGTCGAAAAATTTCATATTATAATTACAAGGAAAAAGAAGGTAAAAACTTTCTAAATAATACTATGATCTCGAATCTGAAAATGAAAAGAAAGATAAATCTCTTTATCTTCAGAGGATAAAAGCAAGGTCTAAATATGCATTATCCTTGTTAGACAACACTTATAAGATTATATTGAATATTTGGTATTATAGTTTAAGATGTTTATGTATTTCTTTAAAAAAAAGTAATTTATATAATAAAAAAAGAGTATTTGTCTCAATTATTATTTTATGTTTGGTTAATTATCTCATTTAATTAATAAATAATACTATGGTACAATTTAAAAAATCAATATATTTCTTGTTTTCTTAAAATATCAAATATTTTAAAAATGAATTTAACGAAAATAAATAATGTATATGCATAATATCAATATATTATATCAAGGATCAATGCATATTAGGAATAGTATGAGATTAGTTCAGACTCTTTTCACTCTTAATTGTTTCAAATTTGAGCCTCTAAGATTTAAAGTACACCTTTGAAATAGAGTATTGTAAATTTAAATTTAATCGAGTTTTAAGATAAATAAAGTACTAAATTGAAGTTAAGAAAAAAATATAATCACATTATTTTTTCTTGAATCAACGGTCTACGAGCAATAACTTTTCTATCTTTTAAGTTAGTGATAAAATCTTACACATACTATTATCTATTTGTAAACTACTTCGTATCCAAGAGGGTTCAAATCCGAGACCTCTTGGTTAAGGACAGAGACATACTTATCACTCTATTACAATCCTTGTTGATTACATCGAATATATTATTGTTATAAAAAATAAGACCAACAAAGAAACTAAGGAATAAAAATAATATAATTAAAGAAAACAGAAGGAATAATTATTTTGGGACCTACTTTGAAATCTGTGAGTCTATGACAGAGACATCAGTTTTAGTTTGGTCCTTTGTTTTTCTCAGGTCTTATTATTACAATAATTGACAATTAATACACCACTAAATGACAAAAGTATATTTGAGAATATATTCAAATCAATCAATTAAATATATACTAAATGCATTTTAATCCTTTTAAGTATATCAAAAGTTCGACACTTTTAGGGTTCATCAAATATTTAATAATTTATACTTGACGAAAATAATGGAACTTTTTTTAAATTTTAATTATAAACATTAAGAAGATAACAACCATATTTTAATGTATTTAAAATCACAAAATTCAAATATTTTTATGCTTTCTTAAACTTTATATCAAAATAAAATATGACAAACAAATTAAAACTGAGAAAATACTTACATAAACTATTTTGAACTTATCCACAAATATAAATGATCATTTTTTTGTTATTTTCTCATTCAGGGGCGGACCCACGTGGGTTAAAGGGTTCAATCTCCTCAGCAAAAAAATTACACTGTATATATGAAGTAATTTTCTGTATTTATGTAGATATATTAATTGTGACCGACCTCATGAACAAGAAGCAAACTGTAGATAATGGTAGATCTCCGTTTAAAAATTAACCCTTGCGTCGAACTAACTTTTTGTACCTATAAATCATATACTCTACTTCCTTGGAATTGTATTTTATTGATTTATTTACACATTTATATTTTTATTTTTCAAATTCTTGAATGAAAATTCTAAATCCGCTACCGTTCTCGTTAATACACTCATAAGTCGTGATCCAATAAGAAAATATCAAATGGTCCAAAAAAAAAAAAACAATGAGAGATTCCCTCTCCCTCAATCTTGAAGTACTCAAATGCTAGTACTATACTTGACTAATGAGTCTACTGTTGTGTGTGATTCTCTCTCTAATCTTATTCCATTTGTTTTCTAAAAATAAACAATCATAATACTGGAATAAATATTAAAGATTGCAGCTTTGCATACTTTTGGACTTTGTAATTTTTTGATTTTTCTTTAGCTGAGCTAAAAAGTCTTCTCTTTCACACACCCCAAAACCTTTTTTTTTCCCTCATCAACTACCCACCCCCACCTCAACCCCCAACCCCTTATGAAGATTGAAAGAATCTAGGGTTTGACAACACATCATATAAGTGTAAAGATCCAATCTTTATTGCTTTTTTTATCTTGCTGGTGTTATTATAGCTGATTTTCCCATCTTGGGTATGTTTTATTTTCTGTTAATTTCATTCTTAGAAGTGTAAAGATCCAATCTTTATTGCTTTTTTGTCTTGCTCAATGCATTTGGTGCTGTTTTTATATTGATTTTTCCATTTGGGCGTGTTTTATTTTCTGTTAATTTTCATTCTTGATGTAAAAGCTGGTTGTTTCAGCATGGTTTCTTTGTTGAGTTTGGTTTCTTGAAATTTCATTCCAAGAACCCCTTTTTGTTTGTGTTTTTTTTTAAAACTGTAGATGGGTGTTTATTGCTTCTGTTTTCATTGTTTTTCTTTTTTTCCATAATTTTCAGGTTGATTGAAGTTGTGTATCTTGAGTTTTATTTTTGTTTTTGAGAGGATGTGTAGTTGTTCTTGTGTTTTGGGGGCAACTCTTTCTGCCCTTTTTTTGGTTATTTCTATCTATGTAAGAATCTTTTTGGTTCTTGAAAAGAAACAGTTCAAGAATGTTCAATTGGCTGAAATGAATTTATAGATTCGCAAAAGAACCAAATTCTTGTTGGCGTTTTTTTTTGAAGGATAGTGTTTTGTTTTTCTTCCTTTTGTGTGGTTTGGGTTGAGCTTAAATGATGCATTTAGTGTTCGTATAGCTGATCCCAACTTGTTTGAGCCTGAGTCGTAGCAATAGTAGTACTTGTTTGAGTTTGCGGAATTTTTGTGTTTTTTAGGGGTTGAGAGAGGTGAAATGGAGGAAATAGAAGAAGTTAACAAGGCTGCAGTTGAGAATTGTCATAGAGTGATTAGTCTTTTATCATCTAGGACACATGATCAGATTTTGTATACGAATTTAGTTAGAGAAACTGGAGAAGCTGTATACAAGTTCAAGAAAGTTGTCACTCTTTTGAATTCAACTTTAGGTCATGCAAGAGTGAGGAAATCCAACAAATTCAAGACCCCTTTACCTCATAACATCCTTGTTGAAAACCCGAATTGCAAAATCGATGATCATGTGAAAGCTCTTAGGTTACTTCCTATCGACTCTCCTGAAAACCAAGTCCTAGAGATGGGTGCTAATGTGAAATGTAATCTAACTTTAGGAAGCCCTTCTCTGGAATTAAGTTCAAATAGTAGAAATCCCCTTAATTTTGGCCAACAAACGCCTTTCCCGAGCTATAACTATCTTCAACAGCAACAACAGCAGCAGCAACAACAACGGCGGTTTCTACTTCAGCAGCAGCAGCAGCAATTGAAACACCCCGCGGAGATGATGTACAGGCGGAGCAATAGTGGTGTTAGTCTTAATTTTGATAGCTCGACATGTACTCCGACCATGTCTTCGACTAGGTCATTTATATCCTCATTGAGTGTGGACGGAAGTGTTGCTAATGGTAATAGCTTTCATTTAATTGGGGCTTCACACTCTGCGGATCAGAGCTCGTTCCAACACAAGAGAAAATGCTCCGGAAGGGGAGATGAGGGAAGCGGGAAATGTGGAAGCAGTGGAAGATGTCACTGTTCAAAGAAGAGGTTTGTATTTTATCTTGCTTTTACATTTGATTCTTTTTTATCATATAATGTCTTATAGGTGATTAATAACTTTGGAATTGTCTTCATATAGGAAACACAGAGTAAAGAGATCCATCAAAATACCTGCGGTAAGTAACAAGCTAGCTGATATTCCTTCCGATGAGTATTCTTGGAGAAAGTATGGACAAAAGCCGATCAAAGGTTCTCCGCATCCTAGGTACTATTCACACCTTCTTCCGTAAGCTGCATCTCAATTACCACGTTTTGCGAATCGGAACTTTATGATTATCAATTTTAATCTCATTCTTGCCATGTGCATCTTGATCAAAGAGTTGGAGAGTGAAAAAGTGTATTCCCCAGGATTAGTTGTCATGTTTAATGTATGTGGTTGATGGCGGATGCAGAGTATGAAGTACATGTTCTTGTGAACCAATTAACTTTTGTCTAGACCTTGTATACCTATTGAGAAATCCACTGAAATATTTATAAATATTTGACTGTGAACCTTGTCATTATCATATCTTATCTTTGAGATTGTTTTAGGAATCCATTAACTTCAAATCGCTATTCCGCATCCGTCTGTATTGCTGATGTTTGCAAAAGCTACCTCAATCCTTAAGAAGATACGTTATAAGGAGCTCCAGTCTAACATGAAAGCTTATCTCTTTCACATGACTCCCGTCCTTCTCGTTTGGCGTTAAGACATACTTCTTATTTGGGTGGTGAAGTGAGTAGCTCGATTAATATAATGATTAACTAAACGATCTTTTTTTTTTTTGGTCAATTGAAAAAGAACAATGGTTATACTTGACTTGTTGATTCTTTTCATTCAATCAACTGATACTCAATAGTATGCACATATTGATATGCTGTTATATTGAGTTTTTGCTTTTACTTCCGGGATCTGTGGTGTGATAGTTGCTCTATCAAGTCGCTTTTATTGATCACAACAACCAATCCTTGCTTTGATTCTGTACAAGTTTAATGCATTTTTGCGTAGACTTAACGCCTTCCTTGACGTATGCAGGGGATACTATAAATGTAGCAGCATGAGAGGTTGCCCTGCCCGGAAACATGTCGAGAGATGCTTGGAAGATGCTTCAATGCTTATCGTGACATACGAAGGTGAACATAATCATCCCAGGTTGCCATCACAATTGGCTAATACCTGAAAACTATCGGAAACTTTAACAAAGCTGATCACAATCCTCGACAGCTTTTTGTGTACTCTGTTATCGATTGGCTTCCGTTGTTACTGTACATATGGTATTTTGGTGGAGAAAACATCAATTCCGGGTTGAAGAACTATGCGATAGGATTCGAGATTTTCCTGATTGTAAGAATATTTCATGATCAAGTATGAATCCTTTTTTTGTAATTTAGCCATTGTGGTAACTTAGTTTTGTGATATGCATGCTTTCAGGTTGTAGATTTTGATTTGTTACAATGCAAAGTAAATTTATATTCCTTTTATCTGTGTCCCTCACCCCTCCTCCGGGGGCGGATTGGGACTTAACCCAACACCTTACGACACGAGCTTACGACAATCATCTAGATGCTTAATTACAAGTTCATGTGAATTTGACAGAAGTTCTCAATCTCTGTATATATGAATAAATCTACTAAATGTTAATAAATATTTGACCATAGACATAGCTATTATTATAATTAAGCCCCTTATAATTAACTTGAAGTCGTTGTAGAAATTGATTATGGTAGCCCCCCCACAACCGGAAAACATGTTTAAAGATGGTAAGAAGATGGAAATTAGGATTTGTTCTCATAAAAGATTCAAATGAGCAAGGGAATTATGGTCTTTCTTAAGCATATTGTAATATTGAAATGAAAAAATTCTTGATAGGGAACACATTCCTTTGTTCGCTTTTCAATGGACCGTATGCTGAGTAAGATTAAATAAGTTTGGCCAGTGGGTATCAGATACCAAATTATTTTACCAAAAAGTTGTAACGTGATAATATAAAAAGATTTATTCTCTAATCAAGTCATCTATAAAATAACTACAAGTAACTGTCCATTATAAAGGTTTATTCTCTAATCAAGACAACATGCTATAGTATATTAAGCATATTCTTAATATTAAAATTATTTACATCGTCAATATAAAAACAACTTTTTTTTCTATCTTTTAGAGCTATGAGTTAGTTTAATCCAACTAGAAGAGTAGTGAAAATGACCTACGATCCCAATCTTTTATGCTTGTGTTGTGTAGTAGTTCTTCCTCTTGTTCCATCGAATGTACTTAGAAAAGTAGTTGCTGTACTCGATAACATTTGATTTTGTTCTTGCTAATAGTTGATAGTAAGGTAGAGCATCTTGTAGTGGAATATGGTAAGCATAGCATCTAGAAAAAAGAATATGTTAATTAAGTGCCCAAAAGAATTTTTTCTCTATATTCACTTTTTGTCACTTGTTTTGTGAATAAGAAAGGCAACAACTATGAAAGCTAACACACTCTATATGACTAAGACATTCATTATATTTTGTTAAGGAATCATTGGTTAGTTCTCTATTGGAATACCTATGAAAGCAACTTCAAAATATAACCTAAGGCAATCTTCACAATATACCTATGAAAGACATTCATGTGAACTTGTGTCAGTCTTATATAGCACTTCACGTTTCCTTATTTTTTTTATGTGCGCTTTGCCTAGAGTGTCATATAGATTCATTTTTTGAAGGTTTTGTCAACCTTAAGAAACTCGAACTTAAAAAAATGTTACTATAACATCAAAAGGACAAGGCCTTAAAGCCCAAGCCCATGCATGGACAGGTTAGGCTAGCTTGTGAGGCCAAAATTAAAAAGAAAGAAAGAAAGGATTCAGCTTGAATCGAGATCAGAGAACTCCATGCAATTCATGCGACAATTTTATTATTAAAGTTGTTTGCTTCGATACAAGAGATTTACCCGAAACAAGCTTTAGTAGGTGCGAACAACTTTTACTTGTTTGGAGTAAAGGCTGAAAATAATTATTTTTATATAAGTTGGATTTTCTAGACTTTGATACTTACCTTCTTATTATACCTTTAAGACCTTTTGCTAGACAGGATTAACTTTAAAAAAGTTCTATAATTAGAATAAAAGAAATTTAAGGAAAAGTAAAAAGATTTATGACCCATATTTTAGCTCAAATAAACTATATAGCTCATCTAATCACAAACAAATAGTGAACGAGTTATGATTCAACAGACATGTTTATTGACTTGATTCATTTTAACCCGCTTACATGTGACGTAATGCGCTCATTTCTTTAAAAACTTTAAAATTTTAATTTGAAATTGTATATTATCCCAATTAATATACAATTCCAAATTAAAATGAATCGTCGGATTGGTAATTACCTATGACTTTTGTAGTACATTATTATTACAAAGACTATTGGCACGTGTTATATATAGTGGTGCACCTTTTGACTTGGGTAAAATCATAACAAGGCTATAGATGTACGTTAACCTATAGGATTTGTTCTCATAAAAGATTCAAATGAGCAAGGGAATTATGAAAATGAATTTTTTTTTGATAGGGAACACATTCCTTGTTCGCTTTTCAATGGACCGTATGTTGAGTAAGATCAGATAAGTTTGGCCAGTGGGTATTAGATACCAAATTATTATACCAAAAAGTTGCAACGCGATAATATAAAAAAGTTTATTCTCTAATCAAGTCATTTATAAAATAACTACAAGTAACTGTTCATAATAAAGTAGAAATAGTGATTGAAAAATAAGGAAGACAACATGCTATAGTATATTAAGCATATTCTTAATATAAGAATTATTCACATCATCAGTGTAAAAACAACTTTTTCTATCTCTTTTAGAGCTATGAATTAGTTTAATCCAACTAGAAGAGTAGTGAAAATGACCTACGATTCCAATCTTTTATGTTTGCGTAGGAGTTCTTCCTCTTGCTCCATCGAATGTACTTAGAAAAGTAGTTGCGAGGAATAAAAGAGTGTACTCGATAACATTTGATTTTATTCTTGCTAATAGTTGATAGTAAGGTAGAGCATCTTGTAGTGGAATATGGTAAGCATAGCATCTAGAGAAAAGATAAAATGTTTAATTTAGTGCCCCAAAGAATTGCTTCTCTATGTTCACTTTTTGTCACTTGTTTAATAAACCGACATAATTGGTTCAGGATTTTTTTAATGAACAACCAAACCAAACTGAGCTATGTATATCTCTAGTTAATTATAACATCAAAAGGACAAGGCCTTAAATCCCAAGCCCATGCATGGACATGCTATGAAAAAGTAAAACAAACCGGATACATAATATGTAGCTCGGATACATTAAAAATTAGCTCAGATACATTAAAAACTAGCTTGGATACATTATAAAATAAACCGGAACATAATATGTAGCTCGGATACATTAAAAACTAGCTTGGATACATTATAAAATAATTTAGAATCAGGAGAGAATTAAATTATAAGGGATTTTAGATGTTTTTAGAAATAGAAGAGAATATTAGAAATAAGGGAAATATAAGACGTATATTTCAGTAATTTTTTCCAAAATTAATAAAGAAAGGATTCGAGCTTGAATCGAGATCAGGGAACTCCATGCAATTCATGTGACAATTCTATTATTGAAGTTGTTTGCTTTGATATATGAGATTGACCCGAAACAGGTCTTAGTGGGTGCCAACAACTTTTACTTGTTTGGAGTACAGGCTGAAAAGAACGATCTTTTTATAATTAAGTTGGATTTTCTAGACTTTGATACTAATCTTCTCATTGTACCTTCCCGCCCTTTTTCTAGACGGGTGATCCACAAAATTTATTAACTTTTAAAAAATATTATTAGAATAAAAGAAATTGAAAGAAAAGTAAAAAGATTTATGACCCATATTTTAGTTCAAATAAACTATATATAGCTCATCTAATCACAAACAAACATTGGACAAGTTGTAATTCAACATGTATGTTTATTGACTCAATTCATTTTAACCTGCAATGTGACGTAATGCGCTCATTTCTTAAAAAAACTTTAAAATTATAATTTGGAATTGTATATTATCCCAATTATCAGAAAAAATATCAGAGGGGGAGTGTAATTAAAGAACAAACAGAAATTGATACGCAAAAACACATATCAAAAGTCACACCTAGGATATTGGTCTTAGCTTGCAAAATCATCGGATTGGTAATTACCCATGACTTCTGTAGCACATTACTGTTACAAAGACTTTTGGTGGTCTTACTGACACGTGTTATATATAGTGGTACACCTTTTGATAGAGGTAAAATCATAACAAGGCTATAGCTATGGAGATGTAATATGTTAACCTGTGATCGATGAATTGACTCATTCGCGATGAAAATACACTCTTTCTCAAAGTTTCCAATACTCATCTATGGGCGATTGTTAAGCTAATTTTGCCCTCACCACGGAATAGTACACTTATGTATCTTCATTCATATTGTGTTTTGTTGTAAAGCCGACGCAACTAGATATTGGAGATTTTTTCGACGGAATGAGTTAGCCCATAGTATTTTGCTAGATTTCGTGTAAATGTTTTTGGGATATATAAAAATAAATTTGGGCTTATTTACCATACTAGAATATAAATAAGAAATCAAGAAACTCAACACCACTATTCTTGAATTACAACTTGGAGTCGGACCTTTATTCTACACACGGATTCCCAATCTCCAAGACAGAACCCTTATATTAGTAGCCGAAGTAAAGGCCAACATGAGAATCAAAGTCAAGTGCACCTCTTTATCAACTTAATCACGTTTTTGGTCTAGTCGATGAAACAAGCAAACTTTTTCCAAGAAACATATTTTCCTTTGTGAAAAAATACACCCTAAAAGAAATTATAAAATAAAAAATTAAGAACACATACTTGTTGGATCAGAGTTGAGGGGAATGAAGCCTGGTCCGAAATCATTCATTATATGAAAACTTGTCATTGCATGTTACCTTCTTATGAAAGATCTCGAACCAGACGACATTCTCCTCAACAATATTACATGTCTCTCTCTTTTTATGTTGTTATTTTAGAGAAGAGAAAAAGATAGAGAGTATGTTCAAATATATTACTCTTCTTAGGGTTCTTTAGTTATATGCCATGGAAATGAAGACAGATTCTTATATAAAATAATCAAATCCACCTGCAAAAGGGTGTATACGTACGACTTAAACTTTTTGATGAGATGGTTATTGTTTTCGCACGTCTTTGCTTAGAGAATATCTAATGTAAAGCTCTTGTTATAATTCCACTTTAAAGGTTGACATGCTCAAAAGTAAATAGTAATGGAGTTTATTCCCAAGCAAAGGATGTCTTTTGCTTCCCACTTAGGTAAAGGGTGGATGGCACATTATATATATGCATCTTAGCTTAACTTCAACTGACAATTAAACATTTCAATTTTGAAAATATACACATCTAAACATTTC